AGGCTATAGGGAAGACATGACTGGCTAAGATTGGGGGCATCAGGAGCGGCAGAGACCCACTAGGGCTGTTACGAAAACTTGAGCAACAATGCTCCACTGGGCAGCCAATAGAGGAAGACATAGTCCTCCTCTACTTTCTACTCCATCCCTCCAGGAGCAAAGAACTCACCATGGCAGCTGTGGATGGGGTAGCAGGCAGCGGAGAGGTCCTTCGAAAGCGAGAGAGTCCCATCAGGCTTCTCCTTTCTTACTCAAAGTGTTTGCAAAAGGGAAACAGGGCTGCCTTGGGGACAGTCGGGATGGTGAACCAACAAGCTGAGGTTCGGTTGGGACATTTCAAGTTGATTGGCAGCGCTTGCAATGTCTTGCTCAACTCAGGGCTCTCTACAAGCTTCGGCAATTAGTTGATCACCATGGATGGGCCACCGAGCAACCCCCCCTCTCCCCCCCTCAATTTTGTGGGGCCAAAAGGTGACCAGGAAATAGCAAGCATGCAAACATCGTGTCCATGGCCACTATCCTGGCAGCATCTTCCGTTTCCAGGTTTAGCCACATATCTGCTGGCAGCAGGGTCTCTTTGCTCTTTCCTTCCTTCTGCCAAACATTCTATTCTTATTTGCTTGACATATTTTACACTTACTCCATATTTTGTAGGTTGTTCTTCTTACCTCAAACGGGCCCAACTGTAACTAGGAATGGGGTCAATCTGTCAATTTCGGTTTCTCTCCATTTTTATTTCCCCACACTTAAGTTTAGATCTCTACATTTAAACAAGAGCTTGCAATGCCAACACACACACACACACACACACACACACAGAGAGAGAGAGAGAGAGAGAGAGAGAGAGAGAGAGAGAGAGAAACACATCAGAGCAGATCACTCCTAATTTATATACCTTTTAATGGCAATTTTGTGGCATTTGGGCCTAATACTCACATTTTTGCAAGCAATGTCCCCTAACAGAATGCATGTCAGTATGTTGTTTTCACTAATGTCTCAATTTTTATGCACACATTACCCTAGTATATGCTGCTTCTTTTTTTGTAGAAATTATTTGGCTGGAGATCTGCATTGCCAAATTCAGATGACTATGAATTCCAAAGGGTTGGCAGTGTTTCGGTCCTCGTGTTGTTTTGGAATGATGCAAGTTCACCTTTAAATGCAAACTGAATTGACCCCACCTCCCGCATCCCTAGTTGTAACTAAGCTTCCAATCTGATTTGAATTGTTTGCCTAACCAGCCGCTTTTCATCATGTAACAATGGCTACAATTAATCAATATTTTCAGCTCTGCCGTAGAACTGATCATTCTTGTATTCTAAGTTCCAGTCAGGTTTGTTTTTTTTTACTGTTATATAGTATTGCACTCCCCTGTATACCAGTGTATGTTGTCTGGTGTATATTGAACCGAAACTACTCTCTTTAAATAGGTAAATGTAAAGGTACCCCTGACCGTTAGGTCCAGTCACGGACGACTCTGGGTTTGCGTGCTAAAAATCTAAAGGTTTCATAATGTGTGATCAATTGCACATATAGACATGCATGCCAACAGAAACAAGTGCTTTTTACCTGGTGCTGGTTATTTGCTAATGTCTAAGTTGAGAAGATGGGAAGCAGGCAGGTAGACAATACTAGAACATCCTAGAGACTTAGGAGTGCTTTTTTGGAACTGTTTCTTTGCAAATGTAGAGGTTGAGCAAGTAGGAATCAAGCATGCTGGCAGATAGGTCCGCTAGGTAAAGGTAAAGGGACCCCTGACCATTAGGTCCAGTCGTGACCGACTCTGGGGTTGCGGCGCTCAACTTGCTTTACTGGCCGAGGGAGCCGGCGTACAGCTTCCAGGTCATGTGGCCATGACTAAGCTGCTTCTGGCGAACCAGAGCAGTGCACGGAAACACCGTTTACCTTCCCACTGGAGTGGTACCTATTTATCTACTTGCACTTTGACATGCTTTCAAACTGCTAGGTTGGCAGGAGCAGGGACCGAGCAACGGGAGCTCACCCCGTCACGGGGATTCGAACCGCCGACCTTCTGATCGGCAAGTCCTAGGCTCTGTGGTTTAACACACAGCGCCACTGCCAGTCAAAAACATAGTAGCCACTTTCCCCCCAGCAAGCTCCAAACTCTGCCTTCCTACATTCAAACTGCAAAAACTTCCTCTCAGCCCATAAATGGAACTTCCTACAGCCAGTCATTCTTGGCACCGTAAGCCCACCTACACAATGAACGGCTGCACGTTTGTTTATTCGCGTGCTCAACTTTGCACCTTGCAGAAAACTATTATGAACATCTCAATTCTTAGTTAGGCTCAGCTCCCCAAATACTTGGGGGGGGGGCTGTCGCTATTCATAGCAGAACTGTCAAGCAAACGTCATCCGATGAGTACCTAATGAAAAAGGCAGGTTATCGTCCCCCTCTCTCATTTTCCCCCTGCCATTTTCAGAGGTGCATGCTTGTGTTGAAGGAGGAAAGCCTGTAAAAGAATCCAGATGGTTGAAAGTGAGGGGGGACGGATGAACACAAATAGCCTCTGCTCCAGATTTCTTCCCAATAAGTTTTGTTCTGAACATTTTTTAGAGGGGGAAGGGGTTAATTTGTTCCGGAGGTCTGTTCTTAACCTGAAGCACCACTTTAGCTAATGGGGCCTCCTGCTGCTGCCGCGTTGCCAGAGCACAATTTCTGTTCTCATCCTGTTCTCATCCTGTTCTTAACCCGAGGTAATATTTCTGGGTTAGCAGAGTCTGTAACCTGAAGCATATGTAACCCAAGGTACCACTGTATTTGGTAAGCAACTAGATACAGCTGCAGCTCCTACTTTAAAAGATAAATGAATGAGCAGCCTAATTCAAATTCAGGTCCATGTTACTGGGGGGGGGGAGGGAGGTTAACCCTTTCCTCACACATTTTTCTGTGTTTTCCCTAGTACGAGCGTCGCCACATTCAAACGCTATGGGGTCGCTAACCTGTGTAGCCCTCCAGATATTGCTGGGCTTCAACTCCCATCAGCCCCAGATGATGTAGTCCATGGTCAGGGATGATGGGAGTGGTAGCCCAACATCATTTGGAGGACCGGAGCTGAGTGACCTTTGCTGAAGCTATTTGTCCTGTAGGGCAGCAGTCAGTTTTTAAAGGGATGGTTTTCATCTGAATAGAGGGCAAAGGTTAATAGCCCCTGTCACCATTGTCCAAATCCAAAACAGTCACCTATGTTCATACACAACCCTGCAGAGTCAACGCCATCCAATTGACTGCTGACACTATGCAGGTGCACTAACACTAACGGTGCACTCAGACTTTTCCCTCTCTGTGAACCATCTCACTTCATGGTTGCAAGGTGCATAGAGAACAATTCAGTCTTACTGTAGAGTTCTGATTATTCAATTCAATACAGTGGTACCTCGGGTTACAGATGCTTCAGGTTACATATGCTTCAGGTTACAGACTCCGCTAACCCAGGAATAGTACCTCAGGTTAAGAACTTTGCTTCAGGATGAGAACAGAAATCGTGCGGCGGCAGCAGGAGGCTCCATTAGCTAAAGTGGTACCTCAGGTTAAGAACAGTTTCAGGTTAACAACAGACCTCCTGAACGAATTAAGTTCTTAACCTGAGGTACCACTATACTGTCTGTCACACAAACATGCAGGCATACACAATCTGCACCAAATTATTTCTGTGTGGAGTTTTCCTGTTCAGGTTCCAGCCAGCCAGCCAGGCTTTCAACCAGGGCGTGCCATTTTCTGTTTCCCATGCCCAACAGACATTCAGCATTCCATGGCCAGTGAGCATGCTCAGTACTAAATGGGCATTTTTTGTTCTCCCCGAAGTGGAAGGATCCTTTAAGGCAAGCATCCCCAAACTCAGCCCTCCAGATGTTTTGGGACAACAAGTCCCATCATCCCTGACCACTGGTCCTGTTAGCTAGGGATTGTGGGAGTTGTAGTCCCAAAACATCTGGAGGGCCGAGTTTGGGGGTGCCTGCTTTAAGGGAATTTCCCCCTACTTTCTGCAAAACTCTGGGTTCTCTCAAGCACACTGATAGCTTCCCCATATTTCTGAATTGCCCTGTGTTGGCTGCAAAGTTGTGGGTACTCAGCTTCTGCAGTCAGTTTTAGTGGGAATAGATGGATAAATGGATTGATGGATGAATGAAAGACACACACACACACACACACACACACAATGATAGTTCTTCCTTTCTTAAGAACCTCAAGCACCACTTCTCCCCATATGAGCCATCCTGGACCCTGCAATCATCACCTGAGGCCCGTCTTTGTCTGCCTTTCCCCAAGAGAGGGCAGAGGGTGACAACACGAGTACAGGCCTTTTCTGTGGTGGCCCCCTGTTTATGGAATGCTCTCCCCATTAAGACTCACCAGGCGCCTTCATTACATATCACTAGGCTCCAGGCAAAAACATTCCACTTCTCCCAGGCCTTTGGTTATTTAAACCAAAGTGTTTGTGGGAGGGAGGTTATTGGTTCCCTTTTGCTGTTTTGTGTCATTATGTATGTTCTCAATTTGCATTTTTACGCTGTGAAGTGCCCTGCGATCTTCGGATGGCGGGCGGTCTACAAATTTACTAAATAATAATAAACAAATCCTTACAGAATGCCCAACTTTGTGGATTTCATTAGTTCTCCGCCTTGCGTTTCATTTCCTCTTCCTTGCCTCACAATTCCTTTTTTTAAAGAATCTCTTTTGTTGCCTTATTGAGCATCAGTTAACACCCAAAGGGGACAGCAACTCTCTGCATCTTATTCTCGAAATGCTGGTCTTGGTTCTCATGTCGCGATGCCTTGCATTATTAGCATCCCTTCACAAGAGCTTCCCGAATTGGCTTGGCTAAGATTTACCGACGTGTAAATGGAGGGATGACCCATCAGCCTCCGCTCATTATCGGGGCACTTTTTATCTATAGGGAGAGAAGTTAATGACAGAAGCTCTCTCGCTCTCTCTTCTCTCTCTCTCCCTGCCTGATGTCAGAGCTGAGAAAGCTATGAAGGGTATATAAGCGTTTGTATCGCTTGCGAACAAGACAGGTGGGGGGAAAGGTAACCCAGTCAGAAGCAAGTGTGGGATTGTTCCCTGCACGATTGCTTCTAATACTGGCATTTGCTAGATTTCCTCGGCTCCTTCCTCAGCCACTGACAGGTAACCGGGTTCTTATTTGGAAACCGAAATCAGAAAAAAGTATAGAAAAGAGGGGTGGATTCTAAAGTAACGCAAACTGGAAATTTTGCCAGGATTGAGGTGAGAAATTGTTAAGGCAGAATTCTGTTAAAACATCTGGGGAAACAGAGGAGATGTTTTCTAATCGTTTAGATTGGAACGGGGATCTTTGGGTTATTCTTTCTGTTCTGACAGTGAATATTCGGTGTGGGTGCAATTGTAGTGCTCAGTGTGCAATGGAGAGCGAATGTTTCTGGCTGAAGTTTGTCTCATGTGATTTCTTTCCCCACCACTCCCAGAAAGACCCGGAGGAGAGATGTGCAGCCTCAAAGGACCCTTCCTTTTCATCATTTTGTCTATTACTTTAAATTCCCTGGAAGCGACGCCTGTCGACAGGTCAGTAACCATTAAGCATATTCTGCTTTTTAAAAAGAAGTCAAATGATTAATTTTTTTTGTAGGGTTGCACATGTGGATTTGGGGGTTTGGGCGTTGTTGTGTTTGGCCATATCAATTGCAAAAGGCAGAGGGAGGGCAGGAGATAAAGAGGAAGGGAAGGAGGAGGAAGAGAAACATGAAAAGAAAGAGCATTTTTGCTTTTTATCCTTGTTTAAAGACTTCTCTCCTTGGCTGACGATTTATCCGATGGCACTCACAACAGACAAGAGTGGCTCTTACCCATCGTCTCCCGAAGTAGCGGCTTCTTGGGAATTAACAGTGCACTGATCGGAGAGGAAGCGATAAAGCCCAGAAGGTACCAGATTTGTTTGGATTGCTTTTGATTCAGATGCAAAAGATACGCAGAGGGATGGTGTGTTGTGAAGTGCATTTGAGGCTCGCCTAGGTATTGTGTTTCTGTTCAAAGTTCCTGTGGTTATTCATATCTCCAGACAATGTTTGCAATATTCTTCAGCTCCACACCTTCACACTTGCCTTTGCTCCTTCCACTGCTAGCATATTTGGCGGTGAATAGTATATCATTGCTTCTGTTTTATAGAGGTTCTGCTAACAAGTCTCTCATAGCTGCCTAAGATTTTAACCCTCCTTGAATTTATTTCTAAAAAGCACTTTACCAATCAGGTAGTAAGATCGAATAGATCACAAATTTGGATTTATTTATTTTTTTATGTGGTGAACTTGACAATGATGCCAGTTTCATTTAATTATGAGATTGCATGAAGTGTTATTGTTGATACAGCAAGGATATAGCTATAGATCTGGGGTGTCTAATGAACTCCAGTGTTCTTTCCTAGAGGTCACTTTTTCCTTGAACATAAACTTTCTGGGAAGTAGAAAAGAAAAATACAAATACTAAATGGCTGTCAGCAATTTATCCTAACTACTCTAATCCACAAGAAATAGCTATTGGGTGAACAAGTGGGAAGATTTAAGAGTATTAAGTTTATTTAGATCCCTAATACCTTGAGTATGCAGTATTTCATTATTTCCCATCTGCTTTAATTAGAATCAAACTGACCCCCAAGGCCATTTTAATGAAATAAAAAAAGGAGGAATGCTTAACATATTTTTTTGGGGGGGCATATTAAATATCAGGAAAGCCACAAAGACGCATGACTCAAACTTTTGATACTTTTCAAACTTTGCAAAGGTTTTGTTTGCATGGAGTTACTGCTTTTTGATTTCTCAAAGGATTATTGCATAGGATTTTTCTTTCCTCCTATCCTAAAAAGATGTTCAGGAGAGAGTGTTAGCAGGCATGGAAATAAGACTTTAGTTTTTAAGTCTTCCTTGCTCAGATAAATGTACGCGGTTGTTCACACATTACACTGCACACAGGTATAAGCTGTCACTCCACACATTCAAGCGAGACCTTGTTCATTTGTACACAGGTGACTGTACACTCATTGAACATTACTTGTGAATGACTGTACGAGTGTGCACAGCTCAACTATTTTCACACACAGACTGTGCATTCGTCGAATGTAATGTGTGAATGTTCCTTACAACCTAAAAAATAACAACCATGTAAACAGTTACTGGGTTTGTGTGCTCTTTGTGAGTTCTGGGAGCATTTTCATTTAAGGAACCATAAATACTGTCTTATTAAACAGCTATAAAAAGAGCAATTTGGATATAAACAAATGAAACAATATAATAAAGGGCAGTAGGCCTTGGTAGGCTTCCTAAGTGCCTAGCTAATTTTAAATTAGTTTCCTAATTTTAGTTAGGGAACCGTGCACAGCCTCAGACCATGCCTTCTGTAGGGAGATGATTACCTGTCAGAGGATGCTAATTAAAACAACAACTATGTAGGTAGCTGTGAATGCAGGTGTGCTCTTGAAATTCTTTGCTGCAATTCCCTCTTCGTGTGAGACACATAAGGAGTGAATGCACAGTGCAGATTTTACAAGTAGGGACCTTGATGCTTGATGTAGGCAAGGACCTGTAACTGTCCTCAGAATAGTGAGAAGCATTGCACTGCTCTCTTAGGAATGGACCATAGCTCAGCCTTGTGTCCCAGGTTTACTCCCCAGCATCTCCAGGGAGGGCTCTCATCTGAAATCCAAGAGTGCTGCCACCAATTGGTTTAGGCATTTCTGACCTCAACGGAACAACAGTCTCATTCAGTATTGATTCTTGTGCTTCCACTTGTGTGAGTCCTTGTGCAGACAGGCAGACATCACTGGATTTCAGCAGAAGTCTAGTGCCCAAGCCTTATGAGGAATGGTTGAGGGAATTGGGCATGCTTAACCTGGAAGGTGAATTCTCTTTCATTGGAAGAAGAGGAAGAGTTTGGATTTGATATCCTGCTTTTGAGACCCTAAGGAGTCTCAAAGCAGCTAACAATCTCCTTTCCCTTCCTCCCCCATAACAAACACTCGGTGAGGTGAGTGGGGCTGAGAGACTTCAGAGAAGTGTGACTGGCCCAAGGTCACCCAGAAGTTGCATGTGGAAGAGCGGGGAATCGAACCCAGTTCACCAGATTACGAGTCCACCGCTCTTAACCACTACACCACACTGGGTGGCCATCTGCCATGGATGCTTTAGCTGATAGTCCTACATTTCAGGGAGTTGGACTAGCTGGTCCTCAGAGTAATTCATTCAGCAGTTGCTTTATGCCTGGTAGAAGGAGGGGAATTGGAGGGGAATAAATCCTCTCCAAAATGCCCTGTAAATGTATGAATGTTAATAACCCTTGTAAGTTACACAGAAAAGACCCCCCATTTAGGTGTCATTCAATCGATTTGAGCAGCAGCTTCATGGTATCTTCAGAGAAAGATAATTATAGTATAGTTAAGTCATTAAGCAGCAACAATGACTCAATGTTAACTTTCAGACGCACTTTTTAAAGGCTATTTAGAGAACTTGCTGATATCATGAGAATGATTAGCATGACAATATCTTGCTCCCATCAGCTACTCCTGAAGAAAGAGAAGAGCTCCATTCAGTGGCAACTGCTCCCCCTAAAATACTTTCCTCCAACGTCTTCCCTAGTCACCAGCTGTTCTTTGGTCCAACCAACAAAGATGGAAGTTGCTGGCCTATGTGTTAGCTACACCTAAGCTGGAATCTAGTCTCCTCTGTGATTTGTGGCTCCATGGGCCAAATCTTTATGTGGATTGGCCTGATAGGCCGCCCATTTGTCAATCACCTGACATCACAATGGCATCAGGTCAGAAGTGTTGCTAAAATGGAAGGTTCTCCCTCCTTTGTTTTAGCATGCATACCCCTTCTGGATCAGAAAGCAATTTTCAACAGAATCCCCTGCCAAAAGAAGGGAACAGGTGCATGTAGTCAAAACAGGATTTAACCATGTCCTCCTGACCATTAGATGATATCACAAAATGTCCATGTGGGCCTGACCTATATTATTACATTACATTATTCTATGATTCTATAGGTTTTCAAGCAGATGTTGGTTGGTCATCTGTCATTGATGCTTTAGCTGGAATCTCCTTTCTTGGAACTTGAAGCCATTGGTTTGAGTCCTAGCCTCTGGAGCAGGAGAAAACAAGCTTGCTCCATCTTCCATGTGATAGCCCTTTAGGTATTTGAAGATGGCTATTATATCTCCTCTCGGGCTCCTCTTTCCCAGGCTAAATATACCCAGTTCCTTCAACCGTTCCTCATAAGGCTAGACCCTTGATTATCTTAGTTGCCCTCCTCTGCACATGTTCCAGCTTGTCAACATCCTTCTTAAACTGTGGCGCCCAGAATTGGACACAGTATTCCAGGTGTGCTCTGACCAAGGCAGCATAGATCGGTACTATTACAGTGGTACCTCGGGTTAAGAACATAATTTGTTCTGGAGGTCCGTTCTTAACCTGAAACAGTTCTTAACCTGAGCTACCACTTTAGCTAATGTGGCCTCCCGCTGCCGCCGCACAATTTCTGTTCTCATCCTGAAGCAAAGTTCTTAACCCAAGGTACTATTTCTGGGTTAGCAGAGTCTGTAACCTGAAGTGTCTGTAACCTGAAGCATCTGTAACCCTTGATCTGGGCATTATACTTCTGTTGATGCAGCCTAGAATAGCATTAGCTGCTGCTGCATCGCACTGTTGACTCATGTTAAGTTTTTAAGACCCCTAGACCATTTTCATGTGTACTACTAGCAAGCCAGGTGTCCCCTGCCTTATATTTGTTCAGCTGCTTCTTCCTGCCAAAGTGTAGAACCCTACTGAAATTCATTTTGTTATTTTGGGCCCAGTTCTCCAATCTGTTGATGTCATCTCGAATCCTGATTCTGTCTTCTGTGGCGTTTGGTGTCATCTGCAAATTGGATGAGTATCGAAATAGGTTGAACAACAACAGACCTAGGACAGAACCTTGCGGCATCCCACTTGTCGCTTTTTTCCAGGATGACAAGGAACCATTAATGAGCACTCTTTGGGTTCGGTCAGCCAGCCTAACAAATCCACTAAAAATAACCTCATCCAGCCCACGTTTTGCCAGCTTCTCCAGTTTCCCTGCCAGAATTTCCACCTCAGTTCACATTTGCTTTTGGCCCTGCCTATCACTGCCATGCGACCCCCCCTAGACATTTGCCCAAATAGGAGTGCAAACCTCAGGCTGATAAACATCATGTCTTCCCACCCCACCACCTTAGAAAATCTAGCCCTTGTCTCTCTGAGCTGAAACCTATTTCCTGAAGGGATGGCTTGAAGAATCGTTTTCAAGCATCCATGATTGTCAGTGAAATCAGCTCATATACAGAACAAGGTACAATGTCGTTATATGGTTTCAATGCAACCGAGATATTGGCTTCATGCATTGAGCTTCGTTATTGGTCCTGCAAGGATTGGTGTGACTGATTAAAATCCACTAGGTCTATTGTTATTGTGCTTCTTTGACAGCTAGAAGAATCTTTTCATTCTTGTTCCACTAGGAGCAATCTTCAAAAATTGCTTCATGTGGGATCGTAACAGAAAGAAAAGGCAATTGTAGTTTTTTGGAAAAGAAAGGAAGAAGAAAAACCCACAAGTCCTTGCCTAACTGGTTCGGATTGGTAAGAGGCCCATATACAGTAGATGGGCCAGCCCTGATTTCAGCTACATAAAGATCCACACTCAGAGAATAAACTTTAGTACGTAAGATCTGGATCATAGTTGTTTGCAAGATGAGTTTACTTTTCAAATTCAACATGGAACAATATATCTCTATGTCAGACAGAAGGTGCAATCTTTTATCCATTAGGATTGCAACTTCGACAAAACATTTAACAAAACACAGATTTTAATAGATGGGGATCACTGTAGTATTTAGATGTACAAATAGCTGGAGATGTAAATGTCAAGGGAAAGAGGGACAATACCTTGCTTGATTGTTAGATCTCTTGATAGAACTTGTAGAATCATGTGTTGGTTATCCCATGCCGTCCAGGTCAGCAAAAACAAGTGAAGGTTCATGACAGTTGAATGAATTTTATTATTATGGTCACAGACCAGTTCCGGCTCACTTACAATATCAGCAAAATCATAAAACACAACAGGAATACATTGAATTGCAATTGGGTATAACGGAGACAATTCAGATATAGTGACAGATAAAAATATACATTAAATCTTGATCACTAAAATATAACCTAAAATTGTCATTTAAAACCTTGATCATTTTGGTAGTACAGCTTGTTCCCTAAGTTTTATGGCAGCCACACAGAATTTGGCCACCCTTAGCGTGATCTCTAGATCGTTGTCCTCTACCAGGAGTTTTAGACATAAGGTTCATGACAGTTCAGAGAACTTTCTTTCTGAGATAATCTATTTCTAGGTTAATGAAGAAAGTGTGAGAGTCCAAAGTCACTTCACAACACAGCAGAGTCAAACAACGCAATGTGCAAAGTTCAATAAATAAAGAGGAGGCTGACAGCCTACACCAGGGGTAGGAAACCTCAGGCTGGGGGAGGGGGGCAGATGCGGCCCTTGAAGACTGTCTATCTGGCCCTTGGGGGCTTTTCCCAGACCATGCCTTCTCCCCAGACATGACCTCTGCTGACTAGCTGTGATTCCTGCGTTGCAGAAGGTAGGACTGAATGACTCTTGGGGTCCCTGCCAACCCTTCGGTACTATGATTCCAGCAACTGGTAATTCAAGCATCACTGCCTCTGGTCATGGAAGCAGAGCAGAGCCATCACAGCCAGCTAGCTGTTCCACCGATAGCTGTACCTATGATCATGTGCTCTACCTCCACAGCCATGCTTTTGAAGGCCAGTTGCTGGAAACCACAGGAGGGATCTTGTGCTTATGTGCTGCTCCCTAGTTGGCTACTGGGAGAACAGAAAGCTGGACCACCCATTAGCCTGATTCAGCAGAGCCCTTCTTATGCACTTATTTATTTATTAGATTTATCTACCACCGTTCATTGTCTCAGGGCCAGTTATGTTCTAGTGAAGCAGCTTAATGTTGCAATCAGCCATGGCAGCAGGAGTGCCTGTCCCAAGGTTTTCTTTTCTTTTTCTTTTTTTCTTTTTGAATATTTTTTATTAATTTTAGCATACAAAATTTTAAGACATACCACACAAATTATTATACATATATCCTTATTTGGACTTCCTTCAGCATCTCTGATAGCTTTCCGTCTTAATTATTTCTCCTGCAATTCCTAACTTAATATTGCCTTTACATTTTCTAACAAATCATTTCTTCCTTTCCATTTTTACAATATTTCTTAAATTACTCCTCACAGAGCTTCTTGTAGCCCTACAAACGTAATTTGATCATCGCAAATACTTTCAGATACTCCGTAAATTTAGTCCAGTCTTCGGTAAACCTCTGGTCTCACCGGTCTCGGATCCTTCCTGTTAGCTTGTCTAATTCTGCGTAGTCCATCAATTTCATCCTCCATTCTTCTAATGTTGGTAATTCTTCTTGCTTCCATTTTTGGGCCAATAATATTCTTGCTGTCTGTCCCAAGGTTTTCACAGTGGTGTGTCTCTTCTTTTCAATGTCTCCAGCCACCGCCTAGAGAAACGGAAGTGCAACACGGCCACGTGCGTGACACAGCGCCTGGCAGACTTCTTGGTCCGGTCCAGCAACTCCATCGGTGCGATCTATTCGCCGACCAACGTGGGGTCCAACACCTACGGCAAGAGAGACAGAGAGCCTCCAACCTATCTACAGCTTTAACGTTGCAAGATGGCAAGGATCGCGGTCCTCCTTAGGGATTCCCCCTCCCTCCCTCTGTTTTTTTGTTTTTTTTAATGTACAAGGACCTGATCCTTAAAAGTCCTCCACCCAAGTTCTCTTTGTCTGAGCGAGGCTGCCGCTTGGGTAAGCAGCCTGCAGATTTGGCTGCCCACATGACCCCTCTCCCTTTTGGTCATTGAATACCTGTCTATCCTTCAGAGTGCCTTGTTTTCTTTGTGTGGTATCTGATGTACGTGACTTTCATGGATTCACCATGCCTCTGTCTGTGTGTGTGAAGGATGAAACACGTAGCGCTCCTGCAATGTGGTTGTGAAATGCCTCCCTTCAAAAGAAAATAAACTTCACGCGCCCATGCCACAAAACCTGAAATGTAAAAGTGCGACAGCCACTCGTTTCTCTTTCTTTCATTTTTAAAAAATTAAAACATTTTAAAAAATGACGAAATGCAAGGTGTACGTCCTTGTAGTCCCACCTGAGTGGAACCATGTGTCAGGAGGTCCTACACATGAGTAGGAGTCTGGCACAGACACATGCCCGACTGGCATGTTCTCTCCCTCCTGGTCGTTCATTCGGGAGATTCAAAATCTTTCTCCAGTCTGAACATCACAGCGACTGATACCTTAGAGCAGCGGTGGCCAACTTCCAAGAGACTGCGATCTACTCACTAAATTAAAAACAGGCAGTGATCTACCAGTTGGGTTCAGGTCAACATTGTTGAGCTTTTCTTAGGGAGAGGGAAAGCCCCATTTTATTGGGGTTCAGGTCAAAGTTGTTGAACTTATTTTAGGGAGGGGAAAAGCCCCGTTTTTAGGCTTAGCTTTGGGAGGGGGTCGCAACGTTTTTACACTATTTGGGGGTCAAAGAGAAGCAGCAACTCACCAAAGGATCACTGGGGGGGGGACAGCCTGGGTTTGTAAACTCCATCTTCCATTCTCCAACAATGGAGGGCGGGGCGGGGGGAGGGGGAGGGGCCGGAAGGGGACCAGGGACTGACTGCCATCAACCAAAACCTTGCAGGGATTGACCAGTAGATCATGATCGACCTGTTGGACATCCCTGCCTTAGAGGCATCAGCACACTTCAGGATGAGCAGAGTATAGGCAGTCAGTGTACAGACTCAGTAGCGCAGCATTTGGCTAAACTACGTTTATTTACATATACACACTCAGAGCATCATAACTCAGCTCCTTCCTCTTCAGCATCAGACAGCAGAAAGAGAGAACAAAGGACAAACGTCCTACATCACGGAAATGCAGTAATACAAACATCCTGTCTCCGTGACTTCCCACAATGTGGAATGAAAACATACACCATCATGTGATAAAAACAATCCCATGACTGCAGCACGGGAAAAGAATCCTAACACCATGGTCTGCCTATTGAACGTGCCTTAAGCCACTCCATATACCAGGGATGGAGAGCCCTGGCAGCAAGGATGAGGGGATTTAGGGTTGTGTGGATGAGGTACATGCACTGGGTGCTGAGCCAAGGGGGTGCTCTCTGAAAGCCAGATAAGAGAGGTGCTGGGCTTTGGGAAGGAGGAGGGAGGTTCTGACAGCGTCCTGAAGCCCTCCCGCTTCCTTCCTAAAGCCAAGTGCCTCCTTACCCACCTTTGGGCTCACACAGGGCACCATAGTACCTAAGTCTGCCACTAGCCCTGGGTCTGGAGACAGAACATGCCCCCCTCAGACATCTCTATTTGGCCCTCAGAATGAGTGGTCAGAGGGAATAGAGGGAGCAGACTGGGAGCAGGAGGAGTCGGAAGCTGAAGATGTATCAGGGTTTCGTGAGCAGGAAGAGACTGTGGCAGAGAGCAGTACAGAGTAGAGGGAAGAAGCGGGGGGGGGAGAGTTCAAGAGACAGAGTGAAGGCAGGCTGCTGAAGAAGCCGGGGGTCTCCCCTTCCTGCTGCGACCAGCTCCCTTCCTCCCTGGTCCCCCAGGACCAGAAGTGGTATGAAGGGAGAGGAGACAAGGAAGCCTCAGATTGCTTGTGATGGCGTTGCAGGAGGAGGAGACTTAGAGAGCTGTGGGAAGTCTCTGACTTTCAACCTTCAGTCCTCGCAACTGCCTCACTGGGGCAAGATCTACCCGGAATAGTTGCTGTGCTCACGAGGCCTGATCTCCTGCGCTGTTTTGCTTCTTTGAATAAACCGTTAACTTCACTGGAACCGTGTGAGTTATTGCTGCCCTGCTCCTGCCAATCGCTCTGCCAACCCCTCACGGCAAGCAAGCCCCACTTGTGTCAAAAGGATATTTCTATTTAATGAGCCTATTTCACAGTTTACAATAAAACACATCCAAATATAACAATAAACACACACAAGTCATGCGTGAACTGGCTACTCCAGCAGGCACAGCAAAGAGATCCCAGAATAAATCTTTCGGAGTCCTAGCTCAAAGCCCTCTTAGACCTTCAGCATCAATTGTCACAAATAATAATGGCCTCCATCTAAGTCAGGGGTGGAAAACCTTGGGTCTAGGGGATGGATGCAGCCCTTCAACAGGCTCATAGGTCTTTCACCAAGCTACGCCTCCTCTCCAGGCCTTAATAGCTCAGTCAGTAAAGCATGAGACTTTTAATCTCAAGGTCATGGGTTCAAGCCCCATGTTGGGCAAAAAGATTCCTGTATTGCAGGGGGTTAGACTAGATGGCCCTTGTGGTCCCTTCCAATTCTAAAGTTCTGTGGTTCTTTGACCTTCCTCAGTACCCTTCCAAGTCCTGTAACCTGGCTGGAATGCATCCTTGAACTGATAATACTTCCTTTTGGCTTGAATAGAGACACAGTAGGAGTGTTTGCATGGGACGCAGGTGGCGCTGTGGGTTAAACCACAGAGCCTAGGACTTGCCGATCAGAAGGTCGGCGGTTCGAATCCCCACAACGGGGTGAGCTCCCAATGCTTGGTCCCTGCTCCTGCCAACCTAGCAGTTCGAAAGCACGTCAAAGTGCAAGTAGATAAATAGGTACCTGGAAGCTGTACACCGGCTCCCCTGGCCAATAAAGCAAGATGAGCGCTGCAACCCAGAACCTCTGGATCTAATGGTCAGGGATCCCTTTACCTTTACCTAGGAGTGTTTGCATGCAAAAACCTCTGATTTGTGAGTGGCTGCTGGAATGCAGCCAACAGTACAAAGGTAAGATTTGTACCCATTGTTTTCCCCACCTTTGGATTCTGGCCCCTACCGCCAACGGCAAGTGGCCCCTGGAAGATTGCTGTTAAGGGGAATGCAACCCTTGGGCTGAAAGGACTTCCCCACCCCTGATTGAAGCTAAAAGTATTCCTCTGAGTTGCAAACCGGTTTTGCCCTTCCTTGTGGGGGGAAAGGAAACTCTATTCTCCCAAGCCCGGGAACGCTGCGTTATTATATTTCGTGTGCCAGTCAAATCAGAAGGATCATCTTCACAAAAGTCATTACGCGCTGTGCTAATCTGAAAAGCCGACAAAAGGCTGAAGTCAAATCTCAGGGCAAGATAAACCATTTAAAATGCTAATCGTTGTGCAACTTTGTTCTCCCTTTGTCATGCTAAAGGTGCTCTAACAATAGAATGTATGAAAATTATCTCCATCGCGCATGCAGGTTTGCGTCGCTATCGTGGGACAATGCTGAACTGCTTTGCATGATCTGTTCCTGTTTGAATCCTCAAATTAAAGAGAAGAGTTCAATTTCCATTTGGAGTAATATTTTAGTGGGAGAGGGAGAGAGAGAGAGAGAAAGAGAGAGAGAGAGAGAGAGAGAGGGCAATAAATGTCTGCACCAGAATCTCACTACTTTCTTTTGACATTGATTGCTTTGAGGTGTACGGAGCTGGCAGCCACTTGACACATAGAGCACATGCCTTTGTTCTACCTCTACCTTTGGAGCAATACGCCTCTGAATACCAGCTTCTGGGAATCGTGAATAAGGAGAACACAGTCCTGCTTGTGGGTTTCCTGTGGGCATCTGGTTGGCCACTCTGAGAACCAAACTCTGGACTCTTCTTCTTCTCTTCCTATAACACCATCAGTTGATGCCATTGACAGCACCAATGTCAGCTTTGTCTCTGACCCCAGGGGTCCTCAAAACCTCTGGGCAATTCTACACGTGTCTACTAATAAGTCCTGATGGCTATGTTCTGCATCTACAGTCGGAGGCAGCAATGCTTCCAAATTCAAATGTTATTATCATTATCATCGACATCAGCAGGGCAACCACTAAAAAGGCCCTGTCGCTTGTGCCTGCTGGCCTCACTTGGCAGACTAGCAATTCTTGCAAACAGTTGAATAATATAAAGGCTACAGAGTAAAATCAAGAAACTAAGGGTTTATCCACACTTTGCCCTGCTCTTTTCATACACACGCTGTCTCCGAGCATTTTACAGTGGTACCTCGGGTTAAGAACTTAATTCATTCCAGAAGTCTGTTCTTAACCTGAAACTGTTCTTAACCTGAGGTACTACTTTAGCTAATGGGGCCTCCCGCTGCCGCTGCACTGCCACTGCGCGATTTCTGTTCTCATCCTGAAGCAAAGTTCTTAACCCAAGGTACTATTTCTGGGTTAGCGGAGTCTGTAACCTGAAACATCTGTAACCTGAAGCGTCTGTAACCCGATGTATTGTGTGCCTTGAAGATCCACTTTAAAGCTGAATCAGAGTCAACATCAATTTGGCTTTTCTGCGGATTGACATTTGCTCCGATTAAAGAGTGGTTTTTTGTGGGGAAAGCTCTGGAGCAAAGAAGAAAAAGCTGCTCAGACACAGAGCTTTAAATTGCGGACCGTGCCTGGATCACAGCAGCAAGATTTTCATATGTACAAAGATGGAAAGAGTCAGTGTTCTCCAAGGTTAAACTAGGGCTGGACTAACTTTCCATCTGTGAAGAGGGACTTTCAAGGGGCATGAAAAGCTTCCCACAGACATGTGTTTGGCCACTGTGAGAACAGGGTGCTTGGCTAGATGTGCCATTAATAATAATAATAAATAATAAATTTTATTTATTATCCCGACCTCCCCAGCCGAAGCTGGGCTCAGGGCGGCTAACAACAATCAAAATAGTCCAACATTCTAAAACATTCATTATAAAATTAATTAAATCAAATTAAAATCAAATTAATGGCAACCATCAAGCAAAATTTTGTGCAGATTGCCAGAGGAGGGGGTCAGGCTGTGCCCTGACCAAAGGCCTGGTGGAACAGCTCTGTCTTGCAGGCCCTGCGGAAGGATGTCAGGTCCTGCAGGGCCCTAGTCTCTTGTGACAGAGCGTTCCACCAGATTGGCTGAGAAAGCCCTGGCTCTAGTTGAGGCCAACCTAACCTCTCTGTGGCCTGGGATCTTTAGAATATTTTTATTTGCAGACCGTAAATTTCTCTGTGGGACATACCAGGAGAGGCGGTCCTGTAGATATGAGGGT